CTTGTATTCAGCTTCCCATAAGAGATGGAGTAGGAGCTCTGTCCCTTTAAGACAGTCTTGGTTGGGCTGGAGGAATGGCTCAAGTGGTAGAGCACCTGCCTAGCAAGCGTGAGGCTCTAAGTTCAAACCTCAGTACTACCAAAAAAAAAAAAAAAAAAGACAGTCTTGGTGGTTAGCCACTGCAAGGAGGAGGTAAGAGTGTGCAGCCAGCTTCCTCTGCTGGGTATGCTCACAAATCTGATGCCAGATTTCAAAGATGGTTAGGGAGTTCTTGAAACCCTGTGGGAGGTGAGTCCAAGTTAACTGTTATTGCCCCCTGAATGGGGGTCCTCCCATTGGAAAGCAAAAATGGGTTATCTTACAGGTGCCAACTGGATGCAGAATAATGCATCTTTTAAGTCCAAGTATGAGAAGCAGGTTGTCTCTGCTGATATCAGGGCCAGCAAGGTGTATATGCTAGGAACCATGGGGTGCAGAGTCACTGCTGCTTGATTGACTGCCCAGAGATCCTGCACTGGGTGGTAATCATTGGTACTTGGCTCTGAACTGGTAGCAAGGGAGTGTTCCAGGCAGATTGACAAGGTCTCAGGATTTCATAGTTTAAAAGTCTCTGGAGGTGATGAGCTATCCCTTCTCATGCCTTCATTGGGATTGGGTATTGTCTCACTCTTATTGGAGTGACTCCCGGCTTTATCTCTATTACCACTGGAGGAATGCTGATGGCTAGGCCCGGAGGATTGTCTTCAGCCCATACTCCTGGAAACTTAAAGGGCATCTCTGGCCCCATTAAGGCAGTTCCTACTGAATGTAATCTCCATTCTTCTTCCCAGGGAGTAACGAGGGCCAGGACCCTAGGGAGCCCTGAGCCAAAGCTCAAAGCTGCTTGTCCACCCTCCTGAAAACTGACCTGGGCTGGAAACTTGCTTAGCAGATCTTGGCCCATCAATGCCACTGGACATTCTCATATATAGAGAGACTCATGAGTCACAAGATGCCCTTCCAGAATATGTTTTTGGGGCTGGAGAAAAGGGCAGCAGGCTAGGATCCCTGTGGCCTCCACAATTGTCTGGTATCTTTTTGAAATTGGTGCCACCCATTGGGTCACCATGGAATGCTCAGCACCAGTGTCCACCATGAAATCTACAGGTTGGCCCCCTACTGATATAAGGACCATGGGCTCTTGGAGGCTGAGGAGGAAAGAGCCCAGTCGGCCCTAATCCTCGACCCGCTCAATGCTTCCAAGCCCCATAAAGTCCTCTTTCTCTTTTGTCATTCTGCATTTGACCTGGAGCTGTGGGCACTCATTTCTCCAGTGTCCCTCTTGGCAACAGAAGGAGCACTGAATTTTCTTTAGGGGCTCTGATCTCTGGGGCCATACTTGTGGGGAGTTTCCTAGGGCCCCCCCCTTTGCCTCTTCCTCAGCCTCTACCCTTACTGGAACTGCCCTTCCTGTCCATTTAATGCCACTTCTGGGAGATCTACTTTCTTTTTCATCTTTTGTTCTGCTTTCTTTTTGAGCTTTCTGGTCTCTGTTGATAAACACCTTAGTTGCCACTTCCAGGAGCTGTGATGCATTCAAGCCTGCAAATCCTCATTTTTGTAACTTTCTTCTAATGTCCTCCTGTGCTTGCCCCACAATGATCAAGGTGGCATTGATCATTTGCTGATTTTCAGGAGCCTCAGGATTGAAGGGAGACTATAGACAGAATGCTTCACATAGTCTCTCATAGAACTGTGCTGGGCTCTCGTCAGACTTCTGTAAGATCTCTGTGATTTTGTTCATGTTTATGGCTTTTCTTCCCTCTTGTTTTAGACCTGCCATCAGAGCCTCTCTTAGCTTTCTCAGAGCCTCTCTATATCTATGTAAATTGTCTTGGCTTTCTGCTTCATTTGGCTCACACATCACTTGTCCCACTGGGGACATGAGTCTCAAACAAATGTAGGACTGCTTGGACAACTTGTCTCCATTCCTCCATGTTGAGGAGCATCTGGAGCACTTAGGGGGAGACTTTTTTCTCTTTATCATTTCTTTAAAGAGTCTCAGTATTTGTAGCCCTTGTCATCATAATCTTACAATTGTCTTCAAAGCATTTCTTAAGCCAAGGAGGATGAGCTGCAATGTCTGCCATATGTCTATGTTGGGGAACTGGTCAGGATGACCTGGCATCCCTGTCACTACCTGATAGACCCTATGAATGGTTTCTTGATCTAGAGATCCCTCAGAAGGCCATCCAACCCTAAAGGACACCCAATATATTTGACAGAATTTCCAAAGTTTCTGGGGTGTGAGTTCCACACCATAATCAGTTGTGTATCCTTTCTTGAAGTTGTCAAGCATATATTGCAAAGGAGTCTTTTTACTTTGGCTCTCACCATATTGAGACAAGGACAAGAGGATCAGGGAGTTTGGAAATGAGGTATAGGGTCCTCAGTTTCCAACACAAAGGGAAGACAGACAACGTTCACTTTTTCCATCCCTAGCTGCTCTCCTCGCAGAGATATTTCAGATGTCTTGTAGCTGTAGTGAGCCTGTATAAACCCCGAACATGTACCCCAAGGGAGGGGACTCCCTAGACCATATGAGAACTCCTCTGCCTTCTGGAAACAGACTCCACACACCATGTGGTGGCCAAAGGCACACTCCTTTAATGCTCTCAGTTGCACATCACGCATTCATCCAACCCAACAAATCTTGTCTGGAAGGTATCCCAGCTTCCCCTTGAATAATCACAAAAACCAAAAAACCAGATCCAAGAGTATTAGTGGGAACCTAGGGGGTGATCATGCCCCTTTTCTGTCCTCCCATGGACAGGCCTATTCTCATGGACCTGGGTCCTACCTGTTCCAGATGGCCACTGCTCCAAATTTTCCTGGTTCCTGGGATCTCTACCCAGGTTCCATTGGTGTGTACAGACCTGAGGCTTCAGTCTCCTTGGGAGGATTCCCTAGCCATCTGGAATAAGCATCTAGTGGCGCCTTGGCTGGGTTGCATCCCCAGGAGTTGAGCCATAGCCCGACAGCCAGGGAGGCAAAAATGCCAACTTTGGTCTCTCCCTTTCCCAGCCAATGCATCAGAAATGTTGTGGGAAATGGCAAGGGAAACAAAGTCATTGAGACCACTTTGCAGGAATCAGGAATTTTATTATGCTAGCAGACTCAGGGGAGACAAGTTCTCAAAGCCCTGAGCCCCAGTCAGTGTCAGGAGATGACACTATATACCCCCCAGGTGGTTTTTGCAGTATATCGTTCACAGCTGGTCAGAAAGACAAGTCAGTTATAGAGAAACAGGTTGGTTACAGAGTTTCCGCCTAACCTCGCTACAGAATGTGGTCACAGTTACAGGAAACCATGCCCAGCCTAGCTGCAGGTCTGTGACACTTTTGAGCTTGCAGGAAGCTGCTTGTAGCCCCCACAGTAGTGAATTCAAGGTAAATTCTAGACACACATTAAATCCCAGAAAAAATAGCCACATTGGCTCCAACAGTAGGAATATGGGATTCTCGAAGGAAAAATCTCAGGCAGACTGGTGAATAGAGCCAGGCAGGGGAATGGTGATGGGGTATTTTCAGGAAGATGAGGATTTCTCTTCAGAGTTCTGTGTAGTTCTGTATAGAGGCATCACCCCTCAGTGATGCCTCTTTTCCTCCCTCCACTCTGCCCCACCCAACTCTGGACACCAACAAACCAGTGGTGCAGAAAATCATGAACACCTGAAACATCTAATCCTTAGCTCTAGCTGTATCCAATTCAAGTGATGCTGCCAAAAATAAAGCACAAGACAACCAAGTGCCTCAGGGGAAGCAGCTGCCACCTCCATGCATCAACCACCACGAAGATGCATAGAAATCCCAAGGGTGCAATTGATCTCAGAGGCAAGGATGACACATAAACTGGGTCCCAGGAAGTCAGAGAGCTGGTTTAAGGCCACTGATGAGAAACTGGCACCATAAGATAGGTGCTCATTGAAAAGCCATATTTGATTTTCTTGTCTTCATCTGGCCCCAAGAGTACCAACAATGGCCTTTTGGCTTTCAAGCATGTTATAGCCATTTTCTCCTTTAATCTCCACAAAAATAACTAGGAAAAGACTTCTTATCCCCAGTTCAGAGATGACAAACAGTTTAGTAGGATCTAGTAACTTGACCAACTCTTTGGCACATCCTCTTTACCAGGTCACTGTTCCTTCCTTTCTCCTCAGCTCCCAATTGCACACTGTAGCAAATGGAATAGGTGTTTTCTAGGGAGAACAAGTCAATGTGATGGGATGTCCCCTTCCCTTACACTAGGAATTTTCCACAATATGTCTTTCCATATTCTGCCATTCATATCACCCACAACCCCCAACATGCTCCACCAACAGATGCTAATTAATCTAAATCCACTTTCTCTCCTGGACCAAGACAGTACTGGATTCCTTTTTCTGGGTGCAGGTTCATAGAGTCCTAAGTTCACATCATACTGCCTTTGGGCTATGTTTACAAGTTGTACCAATAAGAGGTTTCCAATAGGGTGTCATTTCAGGAGCAGATCCCATTCTGCTCCAATATTCAGTAAGTCTTGGGAAACTTCATCCTGACTCCAGCAGAGTTGCTCTCAGGAAAGCTGGTGCAGAACAAGACCACAAACTGGCCACACACTGGAGCTCAGGATTAGGACTAAAGGGCAAGGTCTTGGCTAGGAGCTCACATTGGGGACTCATTAAGACCTCAAGATGGTATGAAGGTTATAGTGGATAGCACTCACGCCCCAGTAAAGAGGAAGCATTCTTCCTGTTAGTGTAATGTGATTTCCTCTAGAAAGCACCATGAGTGACTCCTTGCCTGTAGCTTCCTGTGCTGGCCGATTTCTATTTCACAATCTGGAGACAGTGGGTCATCTCCATCCATCCCAGACACTTCCTCTTTAATGGAAGGCGGCAAGGTATCTTTTCTTTCCACAGAGCAGAAACTGTGATCTCCCTAGCAGAGACACTGGGACACAGTAGACTACTTGGTCTCCACATGCTTGTTCCAGACTCCTGGCCCCAGACTCCTCATCCTGTCCTGCTGCTGACCTTGCTGTTGGGACTCACAGGTGAGTCTGGCCTTGAAATAGAATCCTCTCCCCCTGATCCTGGTATAGCCTGCACCTTGATTTACAGGGACTTCAAGTAAGTATGATCCTGTCACAGAAAGCAAGGACAGGGCATTCTGATAGTATAGAATAGGGACTTGGGCACTGCCTATGGATCCATTACCTTCAGCAGGTGACCAGAGGCCTCCAGTCAGGTGACTCTCCCAATAATAATCATTAATTACATTTTAATGTTATTCCAGGAACAAGGTACTTTCCCAGTAGGGTAATTCTACAAATCCTTGTAACTCTTAAGGACCCAAGAGATGAGACAACATATCCAAGGCCACAGAAGATCAGAGGCAGTCAAGGAATCTGCCTGATCCAAGGCCAGGGCTCTCTGCTCACCACCCAAGGCTGTGAAGTCTGACATGGAGCCGGTGTGAGGTGGACAGTGGTGCCATGCTTCTGGTTATGCTCACTCACCATCCTTTCTCAGCGGGGTCCTCTGTCCCCATTCTGTCACCTGGGCCTTAGCACCCATCCTTCTATGGCCCCTTCCTCTTTAAGAGTTCCACATTTACTGCTTAAGGGGCCTCTGCTTATTTGCTAGGGCTACCATAAAAACACACCATGGGCTGGGTGGCTAAAACACCTCACAGCTTCTTCAGTTTCCTCAGAGTTCTGGAGGCTACAAATCCAAGATCAAGGTGTCCAGCAGGTTGGGTTCTTCTGAAGTCCCTCTTGAAGACTTGTGTTTGGCATCTTTTTCCTGTATCTGAACACAGTCTTCCCTCTGTGTGTTTGTGTATCTTTTTTTCTTCTTGTACCAGCACCAGTTATGTTGGAATGAAATCCAACTCAACTGTCTCATTTAAATTTTATTAACTCTTTAAAGACCCTGACTTCAAATTCAATCATGTTGTGATGGAATGGGGTTTACAGCTTCAACATATATAAGACACATTCAGCCCACAAACTCCCATGGTCATCATGGGACTTTATTTTCCCTCTTCTCAGGAAAGGCAGGATTGGAGGACCTGTTTTGGGACAGCTTGGAAAAGCCCCTGCTCATAGCTCCCAATGGACACATGGTAGGGCACAGAGTCCTCCTGGCTCCCCAGTTTGGCTTGTTGTAATGTTACCCAACAATTCCTAGAGGAACTGACTTACATAGGATAGTGGCCAGTAGAGAAAGAAAAGGAGCTCAGAGTTTTTATATAGTTTCTGAGATGGAGCCAACAGGAATTCCTGCTGCATAGATTTGAGTTGGGAAAATAAGACTGCCATGTTCAGCGCCTGAACATCTGGTAGGATGAAAATGTTTCCTCTAATTGAGGAAGACTATAGAAAGTGGAGAGATCTCCCATGCTCATGGATTGGTAGAATCAACATAGTAAAAATGTCTATACTCCCCAAAGTAATCTACATGTTTAATGCAATTCCCATCAAAATTCCAATGACATTCATCAAAGAGATTGAAAAATCTACTGTTAAATTTATATGGAAACACAAGAAGCCACGAATAGCCAAGGCAATACTCAGTCAAAAGAACAATGCAGGAGGTATCACAATACCTGACTTCAAACTATATTACAAAGCAATAATAATAAAAACAGCATGGTACTGGCACAAAAACAGACATGAAGACCAGTGGAACAGAATAGAGGATCCAGATATGAAGCCACACAACTATAAGCAACTTATCTTTGACAAAGGAGCTAAAAATATACGATGGAGAAATAGCAGCCTCTTCAACAAAAACTGCTGGGAAAACTGGTTAGCAGTCTGCAAAAAACTGAAACTAGATCCATGTATATCACCCTATACCAAGATTAACTCAAAATGGATCAAGGATCTTAATATCAGACCCCAAACTCTTAAGTTGATACAAGAAAGAGTAGGAAATACTCTGGAGTTAGTAGGTATAGGTAAGAACTTTCTCAATGAAACCCCAGCAGCACAGCAACTAAGAGATAGCATAGATAAATGGGACCTCATAAAACTAAAAAGCTTCTGTTCATCAAAAGAAATGGTCTCTAAACTGAAGAGAACACCCACAGAGTGGGAGAAAATATTTGCCAACTATACATCAGACAAAGGACTGATAACCAGAATATACAGGGAACTTAAAAAACTAAATTCTCCCAAAACTAATGAACCAATAAAGAAATGGGCAAGTGAACTAAACAGAACTTTCTCAAAAGAAGAAATTCAAATGGCCAGAAAACACATGAAAAAATGCTCACCATCTCTAGCAATAAAGGAAATGCAAATTAAAACCACACTAAGATTCCACCTCACCCCTGTTAGAATAGCCATCATCAGCAACACCACCAACAACAGGTGTTGGCGAGGATGCGGGGAAAAAGGAACCCTCTTACACTGTTGGTGGGAATGTAGACTAGTACAACCACTCTGGAAAAAAATTTGGAGGCTACTTAAAAAGCTGGACATCGATCTACCATTTGATCCAGCAATACCACTCTTGGGGATATACCCAAAAGACTGTTACTCCAGAGGCACCTGCACATCCATGTTTATTGCGGCACTATTCACAATAGCCAAGTTATGGAAACAGCCAAGATGCCCCAGCACTGACGAATGGATTAAGAAAATGTGGTATCTATACACAATGGAATTTTATGCAGCCATGAAGAAGAACGAAATGTTATCATTCGCTGGTAAATGGATGGAATTGGAGAACATCATTCTGAGTGAGGTTAGCCTGGCTCAAAAGACCAAAAATCGTATGTTCTCCCTCATATGTGGACATTAGATCAAGGGCAAACACAACAAGGGGATTGGACTATGAGCACATGATAAAAGCGAGAGCACACAAGGGAGGGGTGAGGATAGGTAAGACACCTAAAAAACTAGCTAGCATTTGTTGCCCTTAATGCAGAGAAACTAAAGCAGATACCTTAAAGCAACTGAGGCCAATAGGAAAAGGAGACCAGGAACTAGAGAAAAGGTTAGATTAAAAAGAATTAACCTAGAAGGTAACACCCACGCACAGGAAATCAATGTGAGTCAACGCTCTGTATAGCTATCCTTATCTCAACCAGCAAAACCCCTTGTTCCTTCCTATTATTGCTTATACTCTCTCTACAACAAAATTAGAGATAAGGGCAAAATAGTTTCTGCGGGGTATTGAGGGGGGGAGCAGGACGGGGCGGAGTGGGTGGTAAGGGAGGGGTGGGGGCAGGGGGGAGAAATAAACCAAGCCTTGTATGCACATATGAATAAATAAAAGAAAAATGAAAAAAAAAAAAAAAAAGAAAAGAAAATGTTTCCTCTATGGTCCAGAGGGCTGAGGGTGGAAGTAAGGAATGCATTTTAGAATATGTTAACTGTAGGGTGCTTGTTTTCTTCCAAGCAACCTGTCAGGTGGGCAGGTGGACATATAAGTCCAGAGTCAGGAGAAAGGATGTTCCAGAGGGGTAAATGTGGGAACCACAGATGTGCACCTGCCGGCTCTTTTACCAGTCCCTGGCTCCTCCCCACCCCCTCACCCTACTCTGTCTTCTCTCTTTCATTCTCTCGATTTCTCCCTCCAAGATTTACCCATATTTCTATCTTAGAAGCTCAGCTTCTTCCCCTCCAATATTCTCCAGACTTAAATACCAAAGCCATGTCCTGATCATAGTGCACTGAAGGACCTGTCCTGTAGTGGGATGTGTCTCTTGAGAGGCACATTTGGTTACACACACTGTGAAATGTTGGAATATTTCCAGCCTTCATCCTATAAAAGTGACCCTCATATTTTCCTGGAAGAATAGCTCAGTGTTAGAAAAGAACACAGGATTTATTTGTGGTAACAAAATAAATTTTATATAAATGACTTATATTTACTATGTCCTCTGATTTACATCCTTCCTGCTGGAATCCAGTTGCTGCCTTTTTGAAATATTATTTAGGGGGAATGTTCTTGTATTTCTTTAGGGCTCCAGAAACATGATGGTCAGTGAGGCAGAGAAACCAAACTGCAGAGATTTTCACCTTCACTTAAATGATTGGCGTAGAGGTGACTCATGTCCCTTCAACTCATAGCTCATTGTGCACATAGTCATGTGGCTCCAAACAACTACCCACAGCTCTTTTCAAAACACAAGTATACAGTTGGCTTGTTTCTTGTTTCTGGCTACTGTAGTTCTAGTTCTCCAGTAAAGGCACTTTTGAACCACACACTAGATTTTTTTTTCTTGAGCCATTGGTCCAACTCAAAGCTTCTGTAAGGGCTACCATCTGTGTTTAATGCAATTTTATTGTGTAAAAATACACTTGACATAGATCTTACCATTTTAACCTTTGCAACGATTCAATTCAGTGTGCTGACTACTTTCATCATATTGTGAAATCATCACTATTATCCATTTCTGGAATTTTTCAACATCGCAATCAGAACTCTACACATTGTGCAATAACCTCCCATTCCTTCTCCCCATCGCCTCTGGCTAGCCTCTGTACACTTTGTTTATGTGAAGTCATCTATGTTAGGTATGTCATATTAACTTGCCCTTTTGTATCTGTTTTATTTTCCTTACCATAATATTTTCAAAGTTCATATATATTGTAGGATGAATTAGAATTTTTTGTTTGTTGAGGTCACTAATGGAAGAGGGAGGGTAAAAGCAGGAAGTTAAAGTGAATATAAGTGATGTACTTTCTTTAAAAGGATGAATAGAATTTTAAAATTCTATGAATAGAATTTCTAAGCCTGTTGAAATCACTATAAGGAGGGGACTAATGTAGAAAGGAGAAAAATAGATGGGATAAACAAATTCAGGTTGTAATACATTCATACATGTCATAATGAAATTCCCTATATAGTTATCTTAAAAAACACAAATGTCTTTTTTCTACAACTGAGAACAGGAAGGTAGAATAGGTCCTATCTGGGGGTTGGTACCAGTGGGAGGGAAGAGTATATAAGAAAAGGGTTGTAGGACGGTGAACATACTGGAAATATATTCTCATATATGAAAGTAGAAAAATGAGACCTGCTGAAACTATTCCAG